GTTCTCCTGACTTTATTATTTCATGGGTATTATGTGCAACGCACAGCATTATGCAAACACCTGATTATTCAGTCACGTTTGTGGTATTTAAAGCCCTGACCCTATGCTGATCCACTCTGGGGTACGGTGGACTGCACACGGGGAGAGAAATAAGGCTTCAAAATCAGGCCTTTCAGATATTTTTGAGGCACCTCAGAAATTCTGCTGTATCCACAGTATGGGCTTTGAGTGGAACATTTACAAAGCGAGGTGCCTAACGAAGGTATTTGCAACATGACGTGTGGGAGGCATATTCCTTAACTAGGATATGCTGCATTCAAGTTCTCTGCTGGACTAAGCCATCCTTTTGGGCATGAATAAATACCGAGCTCTTTATTCATGAGGAAACAGTGCCTCCCTTTTATATAGTAGACATTTATATGCCATGGGAACGCTGTTCCCACCTGAGGCTGAAATCCATTTCTCAAGAAAGTGCCTAACCAGTGACATTTCCATCTCTTCTCTGAAACTTGTGTAGAGAGTGATACCTGATTTGAAGGTGACAAAGATAAAGGTGACAACTCCTTGAGGCTGAGGAGGGTCTGCAGCTAAAGCCTCTGAGATGGGAAGTCCAACCGCAGATGTGAGGAGCTGGGAAAGCTGAATGTGAGAGTGTCAGTGCCTTGTTAACAAACAGGTTGAAGTGAAGATTAATATATGGAGTTCATTCATATTTATTCTCCATTTCAGAACTGTGTGGAAGGTTCTTTGCTTTCCTAATGAAGCATGATTATAGTAGGTAGTTGGTACAACTGTGTAATTTTGGTTTTAACCATTTAAGGACAAACCAAAACTTAATTTCAAAAGAAAAAACCACCATATTCCAAGTCCAAAATGGAGAGGAAAGGTAATGACATCTTCTAGGACTGAGGTGAATACCGAGGTTCACTTATTCATTTATTCTACATAACCTGGCTCTGAGATCAATTAATCTGACTGGATGTATCGCAGCATCCAATTTGATAGAGATTATCAACTCTGTGCCTATTACCGTGTTTAACCTTTTGCCCTTACATTCACAAAGTCTCCACTTGACTCATACGTTAAATGCAAATCAAATCAGGTCAGATTCTTTCTACTAACATTAATAATTTTAATTTTTTACGTGTGATGAGTTGAAGTGAAATTGTGTTTGTTCATGCACTAAATTCCACTTTATTTTTCAGTCTTGTTTTGGTTTTGCTTGAACATGCTATTTTGAAGATGCTACCTTAGACTGAAGTCCACAGAGGTGGTACAGCAAAAGTAACCAAGATGAAAGGTGAGGATTTTGCCTTTCCTGGCATGCACCTGAATTCTGACCTGGAAGGACTTCCTTGACTTGCAACATTGGGTATGAACAGCTAGGTCAAACAGTTTCAGCACATTTGAACTCTGACTCCCAAAGGATGAGGACAAAATAATGAGCACTGTCCTATCAGTAAAGGTATCTCATGACTCCATTGCCCTCAGCACCACAGCTGACGCACTTGACAAACATATTCACAGGGAACAAAAATTCAGACCTCAGCTTGGGAAGGGGCAAGACACAACCTATAAGGTCTGCAGTGAAGATCTCTGCTGCTATGCTGGAACAGTTCATCGCTTCTCAATTAGAGGCAGGAAAAAAAAATCGAATCTTGCAAACACTTACTATATTTTTTTTAAATAATGAGCAAGAGGAATTTCTTTAATTTTTTTTTTTTTTAATGCTTTTCAGTTTTTAAAATCTCACTTTACTAGACTGGTATCAATTTGACTTATTTATATTTTTATATTACCGTGCTGAATATTGCATTACAGGGGAAGGAAAGAATTATCTGAAATCCAAGTCTGAGAGGTAAGGAAATACCATCTCTCTTCTCCTGCCAATACCTTTTCATCCTATGTGTTTGTAATCATGCTTAGAAAACTGGGTTTGCTTTTCACTTGCACGTGAAGAGTTTAAGTATTTTTACTAGTGGTTTGCTTAACTTTTCAAGCAGCAGGTCAAGCTTGCAGGGTATTTTATTTTTCTTTAAATAATCAGACAAAATCAGCACCTGCGGTGTGTAAGGAATACAGTCGTTGATGAATTGCATGTGAGTTATAGGAGACAATTTTGTTGATGCTGGTAAAGACAAAGACAGAGTTTGGGGCAATGAAATAGAAGCATTTATCTGCAGAAATGTGCTTAGAAATAAAGAGCTGATTACGTTCAAGGTAATCTTCAGGACCTAGTTTTAAGCATTAAGTAACTGTCTTTGTTTGACCCTAGAAATACATTGCTGTGCTTCATAAGCACGGCCCGGACTCTGCTGATAGTTCTACATTAATGTGAATTATGTGAAAGAAACCCTCAGTGTGAGTTAAACCCTCAGTAGCAGGTTGAAGGAGAGGGCCAGGTGAATGATGCCTTCCTTCCTCCCCTCCCATGATAATTTTAAGTAGTTTATGTTAAAATAGAAGCTTAGAAGTTTCTAGATATAGCAATACAAATATATCAAAGCTTATAAATAATAGCATTGAGCTATACTGAGACTATTTAACAACACATTAATTCATAACTTTGGGAGGTTTCCTCAGGAAGAGCACAATTGATTTTGGACTATTTTTTTTTTGCTACTCTTTCTATATTGAAAAGTCAGATTTCAGTATTTATACAATTATACTTCAATTGTATACTACTCAGCGTTAAACCTCTGCTAACCAGTATTGGGCAGAACTTGTGATTTCAATGTGCATCATAATATTTGGCTCTTCCCTTAAAGTTCCAGCTCCCAGAGCCGTGTGATTATATCAGAAACTTCAAGAGGAAAAAAAAATAATCCAGACCTCATGGCTGTAGAGGAAAAGCTTAAAAATGTCACCTGAATTCACCTTAAAGCCTCAAATATGAAAGGGAAAGGGCACAATATAGTAAATTTGTAATTGAAAAGATTTTTTTACTTTGGGGGAAGGAAGAATGACTTATAATAATCCTTTCTATCCGGTGCTAGATGTCGATATGTTGGGTTTACAAATGAAGTGTCACGCAATCCAGTCATAAATCTGGACAACCTTCAGTGCAGGGACTGCTGCTTTTTGGCATGACCTGCCTCTGCCTGCATAACTGGCCCTTGACACTTTTCAGAGCTTTCCACTATAAAAGCAAGAATAGGGTCCAAAATGGAAATGCTTTTTTCATAGTGGTAACGCAAATGGAAGAGAGAAAAGAGATTTTTTTTCCTGAGCTTTGCCTGCAAACTCTAGCCTTATTCAGGTGCATGGAAAAAGCTTTAGAGACAGGCTCATCCAGGAACAGAGTAAAAGCAAGTGGAAAATGTTTATATGCTGTTTTGGAAACCGATTACACAGGGAAAAAAAAGGAGTTCTTTCATCAGTGTAGCCAAAGCTAGTTTCCTGTGGAGAATAAGCTATGCTACCGAAGTCACCCCTCGCTGGAGCTGTGCTGAGGACATGGTGGCACCGCTTCCTCACAGGGCGGAGCAGGAGAAGCCTTCATCGCCCACACCAAGCCTTCCGACAGCACAGACACGTATGAATTATGGCAGCAGACGGCTCGTTACACCGCTTCAATTGTTCTCTGGGTCCTGCAGACCCACACAGGTGTTGGCTCCTCCGGTTGCTTTACTCACCACGGAGCCATCAGTTACACTGTTTAATTGGTTAAACCCATCACCTCACAGCTCTGTGAGCCATAAGGCTTGAACGCACGGCTTACCGCCATTCCAATGTCTGCTGCAAGGGTGCAGGCGGAGGGCACCGGCGGCAGGCTGAGGCCAGGGGAGCAGGTCAGAGGACGAGAGGGCGGGCTGAGGCGATGGGAGCAGGCCGAGGGATCGGGGCAGGGCCCAGCTCCTGCTCAGTGGGCGATGCCTGTTGGCAGGAGCAGGCAGACCCGCCTGGCAGGGCCCTGCCATGACACGCAGGCCCCAGGAAGGGCTGTGATTGTGGGGCGACTCTGGCACAGGCAGTGGTGATGACTCCTGTCCTGCCCTATTGCTCAGCCCTCAGCGAGCACGCCTCCTACCCCGGGGCTCTGCTCTAGAGACGTGGCAGCCCTCCCTTCGGGCGGACACCCGTGGGCGGCGGGAGTATCGCTTGCCGAGGAAGGGAAAGGGCGCTCCGTGGGGGAGCGGGTCTCGAACCCGGGCCCTGAGGACGAAGCGCCCGAGCCTCCCCGCGCGGTGCATTCTGGACGCCGCACTGATTTATGCAGGAGCC